ATAAAGCATGTTCAAAATAATGACTCACTGGCACCCATGACCCCATCAGTACTTTGAAAGTTGAAAAGAAGACGATGTACCAATGTTCCATACAGGAAAATCCATCTAATATATCAAACACAGATTTGTTATGCACAGTAGCTGAAAATAGACAATATTGTATTAAGAAAATGAGTTGTCCATTTATGCTCACAAGAGACCAGAAAGAGTAACATTATAAACTTAAGTCAAGATAGTCATAAAAACACATAAAAGAGCTTGATAAACATCCCACCACCCCATTACAGACAACTGCCCATCATTTAAGACTTCAATTCAAAACCATCCAATAGAATTTGTGAAGAGGGTGTCACAAGATCATTTTACTTAGCCATCATAACCTTCACAAACTCCTCATAGTTTATCTGCCCATCTCCATCCACATCAGCCTCCCTGATCATCTCATCCACTTCTTCATCAGTGAGCTTCTCCCCAAGGTTTGTCATGACGTGGCGAAGCTCAGCAGCTGAGATGAAACCATTTTGGTCCTTGTCAAACACTCGGAATGCCTCCTTCAGCTCCTCCTCAGAGTCTGTATCCTTCATTTTCCTAGCCATTAGGTTTAAAAACTCAGGGAAGTCAATGGTCCCATTTCCATCAGCATCCACTTCATTGATCATGTCCTGCAGCTCTGCCTCCGTAGGGTTCTGTCCTAGCGACCGCATTACCGTTCCAAGCTCCTTGGTGGTAATGCAACCTGTAAAATCAAATCATTTAGAACAAACACCAAACCAGAAATAAACAGAAACTTTCCAAGATTTAAACACGATTAATAAAATAATGCTAGGGAAATGAAATAAAATAATGAATTTAAGATTACTGAATTCATCATTTCCCAAAAAAGATAATAATAATACTAAGGAAATGAAATTAATGTGTTTCTGTGTAAGAATTTTTTACAAATCCAAATAAAGAAACCTGGAAAATGGAAAATGGCAAACCTAACATCCCATATCAAATGTCAATCCTATGTTATTGAATTTTAAAATCAATACTTCAATCATCTAAGAAATTTTAAAAAATAAAGATGAAACTTTCATATTTATACTAGAGGAAAATCTAATCTTACTTTCTTACTCCGATAATTTCACCTCTCCTCAATTATACATTCAATCATGAATCAACAAGATGAAAAAATTTCAGAAATTAAAAATTAGGATTTAAGAGCACAGGATAATTAAAATGTTTGGAATGATAATAAAAAGACAAAAATACCCTTAACAAATGGACACACAAGAAACACCCATTAAGATATTTAAAACAATTTCAGAAGCAGTCTTTGCATTTTAAAGTGCCGGAACGTTTTGGTTTTTATTTTTCTTTTACAATTTATAGCATATTATAAAAAATTTGATGTTAATAAAATGAATCCATGGAAATAGAACTCAAATTCATCGAAACAAGCAATAATCATGAACAGAATGACAGATCTAAACCTCTAAAAACGAAAATCATGTTAAACGAAGATTAGAGATTGATGAACGGAAAAGAGGAGGAATCGGAGGAGGAACGAACCGTCGCCGTCCTTGTCGAACAAGCTGAAGGCTTCTTTGAACTCAGAGATCTGGTCGTCGGTCAGCTGATCCGCCATCGTCCTTGTTTTCTGATTTAGAAACGGCTCCTTTTCTCTGGAAATTAAAGCTTTCTCTGCAATCCGAACCTCTGCAGGAGAAAACCAAGCAGATATTTAAGTATTTATCAGATCACTCTCTTTCCTTGTTTCCCTTTCTGCCCTTTCCGATTTTCAGTTAATTATCATTTCTTAAAATATCTCCACTGCTTTGAATGACCATCATGCCCCTCTCTCGACTCTTTCATAATGTTTTTCTAATATACATATATATATATATATATTTTATATACTAATCACTAAATTAAGTGTTCCTGACAATTGGAGAGTCTTTTATTTAGTAATTGATATTTTTAAATTTATAATTATAAAATATTATCTTCATATTTTATTCTAAAAGTGATTTTTTTAAGATGGATTGCATAAAAAATATACAATTTAAGTTGAAAATTTTTTTTGTTTTATTATTTTGAAATGTTTTGTTTATTTTAAATTGTATAAAAATAAAATTAACCATTAATGGGAGAGGAACTTTTAAATGTAAGACCATATTCCCAAATCAAGAGTTGTCCCTTTTGTAGTCAAAGTAGGTAATACAATAAAAAG